TGGATGCAGTCTGATGAGGTATATGCTTATGACTTATACATCATATCTATAAGCATATATGTGTGAGACATATATGGACATTACTGTACACTTTATAATGTATATACTTTTGTTTACATATTTTGTCTTATTTGGTCCTCAAGGCACCACCATTGGAAACGATTTGAAGTGCACTTTGTCTGAAGCATTTTGAGGCCAATATTCAATCTGCACACTTTGTCTGCCTAAAGTAGCCTGCATGTTTCAGTTCATCATCTCAGATCTTTACATTCATTTTAAAAGCTGCCACAAATCAACAAGGGTGCCTACAGTGTGAACAATTCTTGCTTGCCAAATCTGCATCTCAAAAAATAAAATGTTTACATATTCGTATATTTACCCTTCAAATTAGTGTGAAATTATCGGCATCTGCTTTCACAAACCCATCCAAGTCAAACTGTAATTTTCACTTGACATCAACAATATGTACCCATGCAAGTGCGCTTCTTGCTGTTTCTCTCACTCATCACACCCCCACACATAATAAAATCCACAAACACACAGGTTCACATTCAGGAGCTTGGAGAAGAGAGGAGAAATAATCCCGGGTCCCCATGGGAGCAGATGTCACCGGCACAAACAAGCGACAGATTGCCTCAGCCCACGGCCAGGCTGAAGGTGCTCTGCAGAGCGGAGGGAGGTCATTACTGCTGGCCCTTCTGCACAGGAGGAAACATAGAGGAGGGAGTGGAGAGTCTGCAGGGCTCAACACAGCACTCACACTCTCTCCTCTGCCGGCCCTTTTCCTCTGCTAAAATGCAGCAGGTCATATTTGAACTGAAACCACTTGCCAAGTCTTTTTTTTGTAACCTGCAGCAGATCAACTGTGTGCCATTTAGTTGCTGAGGCATGAAATAACACAGACAGAGAAGTCAAGAGGGAGGTTTTGCAAATTGGTAAAAAGATGACCAGCTTGATCTACGCAGTAAATGACTGGGTAGATCAGAAAGTTCATGCAGATCTTGTACAGGTCCACATTGCATGGTTCCAGCTGATTATCAGCTTGTTACAATAATTTCACAATACTGTAGGTTTTAATTATTTTGACTTCATGTATTGAAATTATGTTATTGGTGAGGTTCACATGACTAGCTGGGGAGGCCAATCTAGCACTACTCCCGCTCAGATTATAACTCAAACCAGGGAAATGTTTGTTTTCCCTACAGTGATAAATCTGTTTTGCCCATGTCATTTTCACTCCACATAAGCTGCATAGTGGTTACTAGAAGTCGTTATTGTAAAGTTTTTTCCCAATTATCAAAGAAATATGATGATTTTGTCAGACATTGTGCGACTAAATAAAGGGTGACACACCAGACAAACGTTTTGATATAGAGCATAACTACTTTTTGAATGACAGTTGTGTTATTCAGTTCTTTACTGTTTACATTATTCTACAGTTCTAGCTGATAAGCTAGCAAGACTGTTGAAGCCAACTGATCCCTTTGACTGTCACTGTTGTAGAAAAGTGGGGGTCAATATGCGTCCAAAGTTTAGGTTAGTAGTGCGTTAATGCAGCATCCACTGGCTGAATGAATGATGAAGACTGTGAAAGTTATGAATTAAGCTAGTGGGTGGAACCTTTAGTTGTGACTATTAGCAGTGCTAGCAGCTCAAGGGATTGCAATATCACTCAGGTTGGTCTGAAAACAATTCTTTATTTGATGGCTCGTGATGAAATTTGGTTAATGGTCTCCAGAGTGTGTGTTCTAATGACCTGACTTCTGACTTCTGTGCCATGAAGTCGTTTTCAGTTGAATACCTTGACAACTATTGGATGGACTGCCATGAAATTTGGTAGGTAGTTAAGTTCAAAGCACAGCTGTGCCTTAGTATAGCCTCACAAAGCTGCATGGCTGCACATACTGTTCCCAAGGTCAAGTGTAAACTTTATCCTAAACTCATCTTTAGTGTATAGGACAGTTTCATATCCATTCATCCATCATAGATCATTCTGAGCCATGGAAGTGCTCCCACTGCCAATTATCAGTTAGATTAAGATAAGATTGTCTTAACAGAAAATAAACTTTGTGAACTTCCGCAACCTGTTGGCCCAAAATAACTCCTCCCACTTTGCTACTCTGTCATCTATAACCAATCAGTCGCCAACACATCTTAGTTACAAGACAATAGTACACACAGCTTTAAACATAATACATTCATTCATAGAAGAATTACTCTGATTATACAGTGATGAGGTTCATTATCTAAAAAAAGGCATAGCTGACTCGGATGAAAAGATGAACTCATAAGTACGGTCTCCTGCTGTTTGATGCCATCTAAATGGATTTGCATATGAGAAAAGAATCATAACGCTTGTTTTAAAAACTGCAGGTGTAACACTGGATCATGGATCTAGTTCTGCAAAGCAGACTCAGGAGGCAGAACAGCTGTGGTAAAAAACAGTGTAAAACTAGGTCAAAAGGCAGCAACGGTCGACAAAAGGGGGGAGTCAGACCATGTAAACAATCCAGAGGGCTAAAGCAGGCAGGCGACAGTCAAAAGGCAAGGAGATGATCTTTAGAAGACATAGAGGCAGAAGATAATAAAGGCTAGAAAATGAAGGCAACAAATAAAAGACAATCTGGCGGACAGTGACTAATAACTGCCCTTAATTGTCGGCATACTGCAACTGACTGAGAAAGAGTAGCAGCTGGGTGGACAGATGATTCAATCAGGTGATACTGAGGTGGCAAACTCAAGTAGATGAAATCAAATGAAAGACGAAATTATCCTTACTTTTGAAAGTAAAGAGGATCAGTGCCTTAATGGTGCACCTGCATGCCTAAACAAAAAGCAGTGCTTTGCTCAAAGGTACAGTGCATGAGACCACATTGTAAAATACACATATACATTATGAGGCTGACATTTCACAACCCTTACTTTATTCAAAAATAATGAATTTTTCAATGTATAGAAGTAGAAGTATTATTTACATTGTATTACTTTAAGTACTACTCTGTATTGACTGCTTGCTTTGCACTGGATTTACAACTGGCAAAGCGAATGATTTGTGCTACAACACTAGATGCCACTAAATTGTACACACAGGACCTTTATTTTATGACAATTATTTAACACTGAAATGTAAAAATGCTAGAGGGAGTTAGTATGTTTTTTTTTGCACAGATGTAAATCTAGATGTATAAGTAGTATATGTGTCAAAAACGTGTTCAGACAGAACACAGTTGCTAGCCAGCTTCATTGCTAGAATCCTTAATCTGAATAAAAACAGACTTCAAAAACAGTTCAGTTTAGCGCAAAATAAATTAAGGCAGAAGGCACTGTGTCTGTCTGAACATACTTTGAGTAACAATTTTAGTTGCTTGCTGTTGAATTTCTGTTAAAAATTATATTTTTAGGCTTTATTCAATAGGACAGTGATGATGCTGGAGAAAAAGCTGTGTAACTACCCACGCAGGAAAGAGGGGACGACATGCAGTGAAGAGCCGCAGTTTGGAATTGAACCTAGGCCGTAGCTGTAAGGACTCGGGACTGCAGGTTGGGCTTTTATTCCACGAAAGTAATGCTTCAAGTAAAAATTATTGTAACATGAAACAAAGCCTTTATTCTTAAAATGAATATAAGCTAGCACTGTGACTAAGCTAGCAGTGGAAAAACAACCTACAGGTGTATGAGGTTTTAAGCAAGAATACTTGATCAAACTTTTGGGTGGCAATGAGTTTGACAAGATATTTTCTCTATTGTCACTGGGATTCCAGCTGCAGCTCAGTGGCAATCCAGCAGGACATGGCCCACTGCTTTTAAACCTCCCCAACATAAAAAATTATGGAGCGAGAGGATCAGAACATGAAAATAATGGCCCACAACAATCCGAGTAAAGTAATAAAGGGATGTGGAAAAGAAGAAGTGAGTAGCCATTTTTGGACTCCATACTAGACCTGAAGAATGTCAGGTCAATGCGATTTTGATCTGTTTGTGGAAGTCAAGGTACACTTCTGATCATGTTTGGTGTAAGAAAAAGATACAGGCTGTGTGTGTGTGTGTGTTTGTGTTTTTTTTTTTGTGGGTGTGTGTATGTGAGTTGTGTGCGTGCGGTGTGTGCTTGTGTGTATGTGTGTTTGTGCTACATTAATGTGCTGGTCTAAAGCACTGTGTTCATGGTTGAGAGTCACAAAGTAAAATACTGATGTGATGAAATGAGAATCAAGGGATTTGATAGTTGCTTGGTTAGTTGGAGAGTTTTCCCAGCTGTTACCAGATTTAAGGTTGTTTTGCCTGTGTCACATTTTCTAAATCTTTACAATTGAGGTAGCAAGTGCAAAGTTAGTATGACCCATAGACAAAAGAGACTGACAGCATCTGTCATGCGGATGTGTCTCATTGCAGAGAGCATGGACATGCAACGTATTTTAATGTTTACAGTAATTTGTTTTAAGGACTTGTTAGTCAATATGGCCACAGTTATGAGAATAAGACCCAGGGTGAAAAATAACCCTTTAAGCGATATTGTGTTTGTAAACAGAAGTTTTACTTCACCTAAAAAATTGAAAATTAAAAACATCCAGTTTTAAATGTCAGACACAGTTGGGCAGTATATCTTGAAGGTCAATCTTGGAAAGATGGAGCTGTGTGTCATCGGCATAAGAATGAAACCTAAATCTATGTCTAAGAATGACATGTCCTAGGAGGAACATGTAAAAAGAAAAGAAATATGGGCCAAGGATGGAGCCCTGAGGCATCCCACACTTGATTTCTTATCTCCCCCAGATGATCTGGCTCTCCCGGTAGCAATACCACCTAAAGTCTTATATTGGGAACAGGGATGAGATGCCCAAAGGCTCATGAAAAGACAGATGGAGAAATCAATTTTAACATGTTTATTACAGTTTATGCAAAAACAACAGTAGAACCCACAGTTCTATGGCAGATATGGTCTTGATTTTCAAACACTATTTTTCTTGGTGGTCTCATTCTTTTACACTAACCATACTAAAATATAAAAATTAATTTTACACTGATAAATTTGTGTTTAAAAATCACTTACAACACCTTCAATGAAGAAACATGAGAAAACAGATGATGAACAATAATATCCTTTCCCTCTCTGTTACACAAACTCACAAAGGCACGTACACACAGGCACAAACACTGAGGACAGTGAGTACAGTAGCCCCAGGCCCAGATGGTCCTCCTTCTCCACCAATGACAATGTTACATAAGTGTATTGAGCCCAGGAGCAGAGGCCTGCATGCCTGCTTTACAGAGCCACAGTGGTGCATGGGATGCGTTCTGTAGAAAAAGGAAAAAGAGAGAAGAAGGGGGAGAACATTTCTGGTGCTTGAGCCTGGAGAGACAGACGCGTACAGCTTTAAATAGCTCTAATCCCACCCCCATCCTTCCACATGCATTCGGCCACTTTCCTGCTACTGGGTCTCTGACAGAGCACGGCAAGGTATCAGGCATCCGCAGCCCTTCTCTGCTCTGCTCTGGAGGGTGTGTGGGTGGGGAGCTGTATCTGGATGTATGTCTGTCTATGGACATGCACAGCTGTGTGTGCACAGCGGGTAGAAGGTGTACATGTGATGTGAATGTTGAGGTGATCTGAGTGGAGAGGCTGGGATTTAAAAGTGAAGGACGAATCCCAGGGTTTGGTCAGAACAAGGACAAGTTAATGACCTTGGGCTGCAATAAATCCAAGATATAAGGCAATTCTGACACAGGTCGTGTCCCTGGCTTTTTTACAAATGCTGTTTATGCAAAAGCCCCCATTCCTAGATAAAAAGACAAGGTTACTGAAGAGCCGTCTGCTACTTGCATGCAAGTGACCTAATGCATATCCTATTCTTGTGTTGCACACTAATATTCCCTACACCACCAGCTACACAATAACACTGACATGGGGCCAGTGGTTAAATGCCATACAAATCGGCATTTGCTCATCCAGTCCCCCGTTTCCCTGCCTGCCTTCACCTGTCCATCACAACAACACCACGTCTGTTCTCTTTCTCCTTCCTCCATCTCTACTTCTTTCATTCATTGCCTCCCTTAGAGGCAGCCATCTCCTCCTCTCATTGTCCCAGTGTCTTTTGTTGCCCTCCTCAACAAAAGAGAACACTTGAAGCTGTGATGTGTGTTTGCGTGTGTGTGTGCTTGCGTATGACAATGATGCTTCATTTCCTCCAGACTGGCGGCTTGGGTATAATAGCTGGTGTGTGTGTGTGTGTGTGTGTGTGTGTGTGTGTGTATGCGGAGTTAGCGCACTGCCTCTTTAAGTCAGGAGTGTGACAGCTTGCAGCTATGCTCGATCCTTGCCCCCTGCCATTACTGCAACACACTGCTGTTTGCTGCCACACACTTGGAGAGCATTATCTTATGCACAATGACACATTGTATTAAACAAAACAGGCCAACCAAGAGTTTTTTTTTGTGGTTGTTGCTGCCAAAAATGAATTTGCTGATGCTTTATTGAAAAATTGCAACGAGATTTGCGAGATTGTCTCATGCAATGTGGTAATTATATGGAAAAAATAGGATTATATAAAGATATTAAAGATATCTATGATACGAACAACTTTCCCCTCTGGGATCAATAAAGTATTTCTGATTCTGAAACATAAATTCAGTAAAAATATAAATCATCCTCAAAGGTTTTAGTGAAGCTGGTGTTGTTAAGATCTTTTGTTTTACTTTTCCGAATCGAAGGTCTAAGAACAGAGGGTGTCGTATGTAGAGATTGGAACCCCCGTTGAGGCAAATTTTTATACCAGATAGTTCACTGACTGGACAGTTAGCACAGCTAATAACGGATAAAAGGCTGCATTCATAAAGTGATTAACAGTTTGCATCTCATTCACCCACCAATAGCAGAGAGCTACCATGCAAGTTTCTTGCCCAAGTTCACTTTGACTAAGCTGGAGATCGAACCACCAACCCTGTGATTAGTGGACGACCCACTCTATCACTTGAGCCTCAGCCATACCAGTTAATTCAATATATATATTTTTACCATTCACAAATGATTACAAACCATGCTGCCTCTCTGGCAGAGTAGCTTATGCTCCAGCAGAGCAGAGTGTTGTATCGGATGGTGCAACACAACTAATATGATGATGTCTTTCATTTTGGACTGTCTGATCTCTGTTTCCTCAAAGGTCAGCAAGTGGATGCATGTAAAGTTTTAAATTAGGCTAAAGTTCTGCCGATTGACTTTGTTGTTAAAAAGGCTGGTGTGGCTTGGCTCTTAGACAGGGAAGTCACTGACACTAACACTTTAACTTACTACTCAATCCAAACGCCCACTCTCCGCCTGCAAAGCCAAATAAAACCTGTTTGTCTTCTCTCCTCAGTCTCTATCAAATCAAACTTGAACTTCTTTGAATCCTATCTAATTTTTATGTAAACATGTACAGTACTTCAATCCAATACAATAGCCCAGCAATAATCTGCTCTTTGTTTACAATTGGTTTCAGTTTTGACACTGTCAGAAAGGTGTGCAAACGCTAACCACAAATTACTGATTTATATGGTGTGACTGCTGGTTTTTCATTTTACTGTAATAGCTGTCATGGGGAGAGCATTAAGAAATCAATAACATATTTTTACTGCTATGTGCATTAATTTAAAATGAATATGTCAGTACCGTCTGGCAGGACTGAATGGTGTTTTCCACTGGCTCACATGCTTTAAGAAAATGTCACAGTAAAGAGTAATGTAGTACCTATGAATTATAGCATTTGCCATGGCTGTCATTCATCTCGCTCTCTCACCCTGGCTGAGTCAACACTCAATGACACATATATGTACCTACTAATTTAGGTTGCAGTGCTTTGAGAAGAAGTTCTGGCCACATACGTTCAACCAATCCAGTAAATTGCAATTGGTGTTCAGGATATAAATGAATCCTTAACCCTGAGTTTATTAAACCATCACTGTTACTCACTTTCATTTTGTCATTTTCAGCTTAGCCATGATATACGGTATATTCCTGGTTATTAGCTTACTGAAAGACTGAACGGTTCAGAGACACATTAATGATGCAACATCTCTGTTGCAGATGACTGATTACTAAATTATTAACCATATTAAGAGTGGTAATACAGTCCAGGTTTGGTACTGAAATGAACAAAACAGCAACTGACTGAACTAAAGGGCTCAGTATGCTTGAAACAGTAAGTTGTGCAGTGTTTGCAAAGTTACTTGAAAACTGTAACCAGTTACATTACTTAACTTATTACTCAAAAGTAATTACTGACATTACTTGTAACTTTACTGTCATTACTAAGCACAAGTCCATCAAAGTGCCTTTACACACTCTATGGTTTAGAGGTATACTGACTATCAGTAGAAGTCCCATCCTTACAGTGAACAAAACCTGTGAAGGATGAAGCATTAGGGATGTCCTCTCCCAGGAGTAACAGGTGTATAACAAGCTACACCGCTGTCCCAGAGGTTTTCTCTTGGAGAGAACGTGGGGAACAGGGAGCAGCTGGCCATCAATTCGGCCTGGAGGAGGGGTACTATTGTCTGGATGGATTGGAGAACCCTTTTTTGTTTTGAACATATAAGAACTTTGAGTAGATGCAGTCTTCCAAGAACATCAGCTTGATGCCCTGTCTGGCATGACTGACCCTGACGCAGCCACAGGGTCCCCTACCAACATCCTGCCCTTTTCCTGTGTGGTGGGGGATGTCATGGAAAAGGGTTAAACAGGCAAATGTTATTGTCCAAGTACCAGACTGCTATCTCCCAAACTGGTTTGAACTGTTTGTTCCCACCTCTCATTGCGTTCAGGTCATCCATTGGGCTCACACGTCCCTTCTCTCCTGTCACCCTGGACTATTTCATCATCAGACACTGCTTCTGGTGTCCGTCCATAAGTAGACAGTGGAGGCAGTGTTGTCCAACTTTTTTATCTGCATGTATTTTCTTGGGATGTGGTTTATTTCCCAGTTCTGGGAGGCTCTCTCCTTGATGCCACCTCTCAGTCAGTGGCGGCGCCAGGGAGGAGCGACCAGTGTGCTGTAGCTCCCCCTATAATCCAGCATAAACACCCCCCAGCACCGCCCAAGGAAATTCTGTGAATTTTTTATATTGATATTTATAATATCAATGTTATGAACCAGTCTTCTTTTATGTTGTTTAAAAGTGACAGTTAAAATAACTAACGTTACAAAACAAATATATTGTTAGTCTAAAAAAACATGAGCGCGCAAAAAAGTGATCCTTCTCTTGCCATGGCGCGGCGCCCGGTGACACTCCTCCTGACCTTAACCCTGGCAGCTTGGTGTTTGTTTGATAGCGAGTGGCATGGAATTTAATAAAAGTAAAGGTGAGAAACCATACACCAAAATGGTCGTTTTTGCTCCCTAATATGTCCCACCGTTCTGAGCTTCACAACACGTGGAAGCGGAGAAACGAGGACTGCACGTGATTTATGAAAAGTGCATGATCTTCTCCCTTTGTTGGCTCTTTACAATTTAATTAATTTGGCGTGACACACAAAATCTATGATGCCGCACAATAGGAACACGCTGCCATGTCATATTAGACTAGCTGTGCTGGTAACTGGCTGTGTGATTTCGTGATCTGAGCATTTTAGCTGAACGTGCAACGAGTCTGTTTGCCTCTGTTGGCTAGCGGTTCTGGCCCACTGTATTCAGGGCTCGGACGCTCCTGACAGAATTGTGTGAAATATTACCCATCGCAGGCTTATGTAGGTTGTATCTATACCCCTGTGTGTTGAATACTTTTATGCTTTAGTCGCAGAAGATGATAGTTAACTGCTAGCGCGTTGACCTATACTGATACGTATATTATATATATATATATATCAAGGGTGGTCCGATGCGACCTCCATAATGAAACGCCCCAAAATTCAAAGCACCTTCTCTTAAGTGTCGAGCACCCCATAGCACCTGCAACAGAAAATCTCTGAAGCCGCCACTGCTCTCAGTCAGTCAGTTTTTTCTCCAGGTACCAACCCCAGTCTACTGGCCGGAATGAGCTGGAAATCTTTCTACACTGTCTTGTCTCCCAGAATCCTGAAATGCCTTGCTTGGCTCTGCGTCTGTCTCTTTCCCTTCTAGTGTGTTTACAGTTACCAGCCGCCGCTGTTCCCTGACCTGGTGACGAAGCTTGGCGTCCCTTCTGCCCAGACTCTCAATTGTAGTCCTGAAATAAAACCCAGAGTCCTTTTGTTTGAGACTGAAACAAGGCTGAGTAAAAATGTAGTCGACGTCGTGCTACAACACTATGTCATACTGACACTGCCTGCTTCCTCGCTACAAATC